AGCTCTCACAGTCTCATTGTTTCCTTTGATTCTCACACAGCCTTAGGCAGAACAGGGAATGTCCTTATTTCACAGGTGATATAGGGTAACCTATGGTTCAACAGAGGACTCTGTGGCACCCAGGAAGAAAGACTGCTATTTACTCCCAATGTGACATAAGAACCTGTGAACTAAGGACATTCCCCGATCTGCAGTCAAATGGCCCAGAACACTCACCTGCAGCAGGGCTGGCCGGGATTCAAGGAGATGGCAGTGTGTTTCTGTCTCTCCTGTGAGGTTAATGTCTTTGGTCTTCGTACTCAGCTCTGGCCAAATGAGTTGGCAGCCCAGGTTTTAGGACTTAGATGAGGATTAGGGGGAAGAAAGTTCAATAACCATCTTAATGTTCATGAAGAATCATTGTGCAAAAGTTGTAAGGATTTTCTTGTTTTCTCTCTACCCAGAACATGAGACTAAATTACAGCAGCAATTCAAGTTAGAAGCAAGAAGGTATTCTGTGACATAAGGACTCTTGAACACTCCATTTTCTTGTCCTTAAGGACTCTTGAACACTCCATTTTCTTGTCCTTAAGGACATATGACTATGTAGGGGTGGTTGGTGGTTTAACTGTGGTGTTCTTCAGAGAGACCTGCCAGCCAGTCTATTCCTTTTTCATTCTCAAGGCTTTATTTACTTAATAATAGGGTTGTTTTTATACCAATGACCTGGAAGATGAGCTAGTGATTTTTCTAGACATCTTGAGTCTTCTGTGATCGTGAAAGATTTCCTTTCACTCCTTTATTCCATACTCCTCCCTCCTTCTCTTCTTTGGCAGTCTTCCACCTAAAAAGATCTCAGCTGTGCACATAGTGTGCTTGTTAGGATCTAGACTGAAGACTTGGATGCTTTTACCTAATAGGCTTCTGGGATTGCTTACACTTCTGGGCCCTCCTTGGTTCTCAGAGGTTGCTAAGTGCAAAGCCCTAAGGGTCTGAGGATTTAAAGAAGTTCAAGACACAGTCAGGCCAACATAATCTTTAACCTGATATTCTGCATCAGTCTTCTAACTGGTCAATCTGCCACCTGCTTTGTTTTCCCATTCCCAATCCATGCTCCATACTGTGGCTACAGTGCTTTTCCCAGTATAAAGATCTGATGTATCCCTTACCTGCTTAAAATCTATTAGGGGCTCCCTGTTGCCCTTAGGATGAGGTGTAAGCTCCTTAGCATGGCCTGTAAGTCCCTCAAATGGTCCAGCTCCCGCTTTCATCTACAGCCCTGTCTCATCATTCTTCCCTAATGTGTTCCAGCCAGATTGAACTTGTTGTGGTTCCCAGACAGGTCACATCCTTTGTTACCTCAGACCTTTCTATACACTATTCTGTCTGTCTGGGATACTCTTCCTCATTCTCACTTCTCTTCCGAATAACTATGACTCCTCCAGATCGGTGGCTCTTAACCATCATGCATCAATCTGGTGAAAACAATAGATTCTCTCCCTGGAAGAGCAAACCTGTGTTCTTATATGCTCATGATTTCCCATGCAGCTTTAGGGTACAGGAATCCCTGGCTTAAGAACCTTTCAAGCTAAGTTCTCTTTTCTAACATTTGACATCTTTTACAGTTATTGGTTTTCTTGTCTCTCTCTCCACTAGACTGAGCTCCATGAGGGTGGGGCTGTGACTTGTTAGCTGTTGTATTCTCTGGACCTAGTACAGTGCTTGACACATGAGGACATATCTGATTTATGTTTGATGAATGAATAAATGGGCAAATATCTGCCCTTGAGAGAATCATGTTCTCTTTGGAGAAACAGGACATGCATGTTAACAGATGATAAGTGGAAGATGGAAAGGGCTAAAAAGATGTGCAGCTGACAGCCATTCTCTGAAAGTTCTGAGCCTGAGGTGGCTTTCTGGGCCCCTTGGGAAGAGCTAGCAGAAGAGAGCACTTCGGTTGACCACACAGATGGAAGGACTTACATGACTCATCTTCTGTTTTCTAGAAATACTTTGTCAAACTATTAGAGATGAGTGAAGGAGCAAGAACGACCAAGTCCTTGATGGTTTTTCTCCTCCAGAATTACTGAAGCCCATGGAATGAGATGTCAAGAGAATCTCTCTTCTTTTTTTTCTACTCCAATAAATATTTTTGAAGTGCTTGTTTTATGCCAAGCACTTTGTTATGTGTTAAGGATATCTTGACAAATAAGCTTGACAAGATCTTAGCCACTTGGTTCTTTGCTAGGTATTAAGTACTAACTTGTCCTCAGAATTTGGACCAAGGCCTTGAGTTTGGGAATACTTTTATTAAGGTTATTAGTTAGGATGAGATTTTATTGAGGGATGTATTAGAAATGACACAGGGTCTAGAGTTAGGCCAAAGTTCAAATCTTCCTCCTGCCTCTAAGATTTATGAGTAAATACCTCTTGAAATGCCAATTTTATAATTGGTAAACTGGAAGTAATACTGTCTACCTTCTGGACATGTTTCAAGGGTTAAATGAGATAATATGAGTCAGGTAAACATTAGGGTACCTTAGCAGAGGGTCTAGTACACAGTACTGACTAATATGACTATTTTTAGGCCCCATTTAAACTAAAGTCTTAGTTTGGTATAGTAATTTTTGCTGGTTCATAAGATGATAAGATTGGATTATACAAGCTTTTTCAGAAAATAAGTGCTGTCTCTGAGACCCTAGTTTTTCTTTCACATCATTTTTTCTCTTGCTTATTTAAGTTTTAAGTACTTATTATAGAAAATTAGAAATTTAGGAGTCATGTAAAGGAGGAAGGAAAAGTCTCCTAAAGACCTACTGTCTAGGAAACTGTCTTAACCTTTTCTGAATCATAGATTCCTGTAAGAATCTGATAAAAATGACCTGTCATCTCCCTAGAAGAAGTGAACTTTTACACATATATAAAAATATTTTCATGCAATTCCAGGAGTTTCTATTTATTTACCCCAAAGTTGCAAAACCCTAACCTGACTTTCAACCACAGATTCCACAGGCAGAAAGCAATCAGCCCAGGCTCTGATTTACACTGCTGTGAGGGCTTCTGAATCTCTTGGTTCTTACAATCTGGCTGCTGTATTTTTTTAAGTCTTATTTTTTGAGGACTAACTAATTAAACAAAGAATTGACTATATTTGATTATCTTTGGCAGTATAATTACCAACTGGACCCTCATTAATGAACTTTTTAATAACTTCTGATTTCCTTGTGTATGCATGTTTTTGTTTGTGTGTCTCAATAAACTCAATAGAGAGATTGTGGAGCCTGTGTTATGGGTGGAAGAGGAATATACTGTTTTTCCCTGTTTTTCCTTACCTGTTTGTTCTGCCCTAGGGTACTGTGCTGAGGCCTTTCACAGGCTTCCACTGGCAGTCAGAGGAGAGAGAACAGGGTGGAGGGTCTCAGGTCCACCTGATCTGGCGGGTGAGGGAGAAGGCAGGGTTTGGAATGTCTGCCCCATTACTTTCCTCCCCGTTCCAGAGTCATTCAGCTCTAGAACTATGTCAGGATGGGACTCTGGATTGGTGGAGGAATCATGTGCAGTCCATGCAGCTTGGAGGTGGGTGTCTGCAGCCCACATGCTGTACTGTACTTTATTTTCTTGGCTCTGGTGTATGAATTCCACAGAGAGAAAACAACCGCCCAGGCTTGGTTTCACACTCACATTAAGGCTTCTGGATCCCTTGTTTCTTGCAGTCAGGTTGCCCTTTATTTCCGTTTACAAAGACATGTGTTGCCTGTCTTTCCTGAAATCAGCAGCTTTTGCTGAATGGGCCTGGCTTTAGATAAACCCATGTGTTGTTTGCAGAGTGATGGCTGAAGGCAGGGGCCTCAGGACCATGGCAATGTGGTGCTGCCATTGCCTATATTTACAGCCCTGCCTTCTCTCATTTTTGGATTATTATCAGGGCCTGCAGCTGTTCTCCCTGCCTGTGATCTAGCTTCCACCCTGCATCCAAAATTTCATTAATTCTCAATGGTGCTATCCCTGGGATAAAGTCCTCACTTGTTTACCTCACTTACAGGGCTTGTCAAGTCCTGGCCCCATCTACCTCTCCAGCTTCCTCCTTATCACTGTTACTCTGTGTACCAGCCAACCAGCCTCTCGTCATTTCACCAAAATTTATTCTTTTAATACTTTCCTCTCTTTGCACGAATGGTCCCCAGATTCAGCTCATCCTTCCTTACCTTTGCTGCCTGTAGAACTCTTCCTCATCCTCTAATACCTCGCTAAATGTGACCTCTTACTAGGATGTCTGACTGCAGTTCCCAGAAGAGATTTGTTGCTCCCTCCTCTATGTTCTTGGGCTTTAGTATAGCATAGCGGTTACAAGTGTGGATTCCAGAGTCAGACTTCTTGGGTTTCAACCCAACTCAGCCTCTTCCTAGGTGTGTGACCGTGGGCAAAATGAATTACCTACCCTCCTGTGCTCAGTTTCTTCATCTGTAAAATGGGGATAATATTAATAAACCTCACAGGTTGTTGCGAGGATTAAAAGACTTTAAAGTGCTTAACACAGTGTATGGCCATAGTTAGCTCTCAACAAATGTTACTTATTGTTATCACAACCCTTTGTGTATAATTCTGTCTACGAAGCTCTTATCACCTCTGTTTATAAATACTTTTATATGTCTGCCTTACTAGACTTGTGTTCCTTAAGGACAGGTACATATCTTGTTCACTTTTTCTGGCCTTGTATATGGAAGTTTACAACAAATGTTGGTTCAATGAGTGGTTGGACACAGATTTGCCTTCAAAATGGAAGTGGGCAATAGATAGAGTAAGGAATGCTTATGATTGGGTTTGTGGGTGATCACAGACCCAAAGGTGATGTGACCTTGAGGTTACCTGGTTTATCTCCCTCTGTGCCTGAATCCCTCTGCTACCTCCTGGAGCCCAGGCAGTGCTTTTATGTTTCCAAGACAGGGCAGGAGGCCATGTGGAAGGTAAACATATCCCAGGTGCCACATTCATGTCCTTTGTGTTTTTGTTGTAAACTCTAGGTGACATGTCTGAGAGTAAAGCCAAAAAGATAGAAATCAAGGACGTGGATGGGCAGACGCTGAGTAAGCTGATCGACTACATCTATACTGCTGAAATCGAGGTGACCGAAGAGAATGTCCAGGTATACTCAGGCTCACTAATAGCTCAGTGTATTGCACACTCAGGAGCCACTGTTTTACAGTGTCATTTTATTTAACTCTCACAACAATTCAGTTGGTTACTTAAGAGGAAACTATGGCTCTAGAGAGGTCGGGTGACTTGCTCTGGGCCACATGGTCAGGAGGTAAGCCAGCTGGTCCTCAAACTCATGCCTTCCTGGCTTGGGCACCTATGCTGTTAGCCACTAGGCCATGATATCCCTGGATGAGCCTGGGCCCGGGAGTAGAAAGTCTTTAACTCATGTCAGTTCAAAATCTTGCGGAGGAAAAGCTGGGAGCTTGGGTGACTCCCCTTCTCCCCAGGTCACTGTCTTGTCTCAGAATTCAAATAGCTGAAACTTTTGGGTACTAACAGTAAGTGCAAAGTAATTTGGCACAAAATGAGCAGAGGGGAGGTTGTAGAAGTCTATAATTGGAACCAGCTATCTTTTCATCATATGTTTATTTAATAACTTTTTTCCTATAAAATACAAAGTGTTTCCAAACTTGGATAATTAGAAGATATTCTCCTTTGGATCCTTATTGCCTGGTTAGGATTAAGAGGTACATAAAACAAGGTGCAGTTTGTGTGGACATAATGTTCACTGTTTGGAGGTCCTGAGCCCAGAAGCTTCTGTCTCATGAGGTTGGGCTGTGTTACCCTCCCAGCCTGTGGATGCATTCACCAATGTGAAAATTCTCTGAACCTCCTTATTTAGGGACTTTTAACCACTTCACTTTAAACTGTGGTTAGGTCAAGGGTGATGTTGGAGAAAAAACAAAAAAGATTGGGAAGGGGCTGGGCGTGGTGGCCCACACCTGTAATCCCAGCACATTGGGAGGCTGAGGCAGGTGGATCACCTGAGGTCAGAAGTTTGAAACCGGCCTGGCTAACATAGTGAAACCCCATCTCTACTAAAAATACAAAAATTAGCTGGGCATGGTGGCGGATGCCTGTAATCCCAGCTATTTGGGAGGCTGAGGCAGGAGAATCATTTGAACATGGGAGGTGGAAGTTGCAGTGAACTGAAGTCACACCACTGTACTCCAGCCTGGGTGATAGAACAAGGCTCTGTCTCCAAAAAGAAAAAAAAAAAAAAAAGATTGGGAAGAAGACATTTTGGATCAAAATGTGGATTCTTCTTCATGCTGTTATGTATTTGCTGAGGTGGTTGCTCACAGGTTGTCTGTGAAGACAGGATCTATTGAGGATTTGGTACACTGAGAAGATGAGCATGGAGGCACTGGGGCTCTCCTGAAAGCCTCAGAAACAAGAGTCAGAGATCTGGGACTTTGTTAAATGGCTGTGAGAGCTACACTCCTATTCCCTTCCCAGCCACATATACCTTGGAGATACCCTGAGTTGCCCTTCCATGGTGGAGGTACTAGCAGTCATAACTGACTTTTATAAGCAAACATGTGCCCATCAATTCACATGCATTATCCCATTCAATTGTCATAACCACCCATTGGACTGTACCAGTATGATCCCTCCTTTACAGCTGAAGAAACTGGTACTCAGCAGGGTTAAATAACCTGCATGGTCACAGAGAGAGTAAGTGGTAGAGTTGGGAGCTGAAGCCAGCCCCCAGTGCTGTGCTCTAAGGCTGTGATGAATTCTTGTTTCTTGTTAAATGAATGATCAGACCTTGACTTTGGCTCATAATGATTTACAATAATAAAAACTGACATCAACTGAGCACTTCCTATGTACCAAGCACTGTGTTAACTACTTTAAATTTTTCTCATCTGATCCTCATAAGATGCCTTATTGTCCTCATTTTATTGTTGTGGGGAGAGAGGCATTGAGAGGTTAAGTAATTTGTCCACAGTTATATGGCTGGTAAGTGGAGGAGTCAAAATTTAAAATGACACTTAAACACAGTGCTCTTTGCCAGCTCTCCTGTTCGTCTATATACACCCCCCCACCTCTTTTCCTTTCTTTCTTTCTTTATGTGGCACTGATTCAGTGCCAGACCCACTGTGTGGCTAGGGCAGAGGCCCTGGGTGGCCCCAACACCTGGGCCCCTGGCTGGTGCCCTCCCTCCGTGCATGGCCCTGCCTCCCTGCAATTCCAGGAGTAGGTGCTTTCTGAGGCAGGGCATTTCCTTTTGTTTTTGCTAAAGGAAGCAAACCCTGTGACGGGATATCCTCTGCTGTGTTTTCATGTTATCTGAGGGAGGAAAAAAACATAACGAGGCCTGCACATGAAAAATGGAGGGGAAGCCATTGCAAGCTGAAGGGTCACCTGTAAACTCTTTGCCAGGGGCCATTTCAGGGCCTGTTTTCCAGAAACTGTAATGCTGAGGTGGCAAAAGGCAAGCTAGAAGATTCTTGACTTAGGGTAATCTTCCATCATGATGGGTGGTTTTGGCCAATTACTCCTTCTCTGATCTCAGCCTCCTCCCTCTAGGGACCAGGCAGTACTGCCTTAGTGATTCTATGAGGACAGTCTTGCTTCAGAGCTGAGGACCCACGCTTGGCCTCTTGTTCATAATCTTGTCATTCCTGCTGCTTTGAAGAGAAAAGAAGAGGAGAGGCGAGGAGAGGAGAGGAGAGCAGAGGGAGAGGAGAGGGAGAGGAGAGGGAGAGGAGAGAAGAAGAAATCCTTTCAAAGCCCTGTTGATGTAGGGAGAGGGAAGTGAAGACAGTCACATCATGGATGTGTTGCTGTCTTTTCTTTTTTTTTTTCCCATTTATTTATTTTATTGCATTTTAGGTTTGGGGGTACATGTGAAGAACATGCAAAATTGTTGCATAGGAACACAAGTGGCAGTGTGATTTGTTGCCTTCCTCCCCATCACCTACATCTGGCATTTCTCCCCTTGCTATCTCTCCCCAGCTTCCCACCCCCCACCGTCCCTCCCCTATTTCCCCCCAACTGACCCCAGTGTGTAGTGCTCCCCTCCCTGTGTCCATGTGTTCTCATTGTTCAACACCCGCCTATGAGTGAGAACATGCGGTGTTTGATCTTCTGCTCTTCTGTCAGTTTGCTGAGAATGATGGTTTCCAGGTTCATCCATGTCCCTACAAAGGACCCAAACTCATCGTTTTTGATGGCTGCATAATATTCCATGGTGTATATGTGCCACATTTTCCCTATCCAGTCTATCGTCGATGGGCATTTGGGTTGGTTCCAGGTCTTTGCTATTGTAAACAGTGCTGCAATGAACATTCGTGTACACGTGTCTTTATAGTAGAACGATTTGTAATCCTTTGGATATATACCCAGTAATGGGATTGCTGGGTCAAATGGAATTTCTATTTCTATGTCCTTGAGGAATCGCCACACTGTCTTCCACAATGGTTGAACTAATTTACAGTCCCACCAACAGTGCAAAAGTGTTCCTATTTCTCCACATCCTCTCCAGCATCTGCTGTCTCCAGATTTTTTAATGTTCGCCATTCTTACCGGCGTGAGATGGTATCTCAATGTAGTTTTGATTTGCATTTCTCTGATGACCAGTGATGATGAGCATTTTTTCATATGTTTGTTGGCCTCACGTATGTCTTCTTTTGTAAAGTGTCTGTTCATATCCTTTGCTGTCTTTTCTTTCAGAGCCTCTGGAGATGCGTTTTGTACTTGTTTCTAGATGCCAGAACCCCATTGGATGGGGCCTTACTTTAATCCCTGAGACCCAGAGCAGTAATACATCTTCCAGCCTCCAAGCCTTCCCTTCAGCATTCTGATTCCTTTTATTATTTTTTTCTTTTTTTAACACCTTCCTGTATGAAGCAAGTAGAAAGAAAAAAAAGCTTTGACTCTAAGCTAGTCTCAGTGGAAGATCAAAGAGAGGGAAAGAGCAATTAGAGAAACTGCAAGCGCATTCATTTTAGGAAGTCGGTTTGGGAAGTCTTTTGGGTAGGAGTGAACTCAAACAGGGGTATGAAGAGGTAGAAAGCCTTATAATTTTTGCCTACTAAGTGGGTATTGTGAACAGGAGGGAAGTTGAAAGCTATGTGGGTAGCTCTCTCCAGGGAAGTTTTAAAAATTAAAAGTGTAACCTAAGGAGTATATTCAGGAAATATATATTATTTCATTTCTCTGGCTGGTTGTCATGAGCTTGAGAATTTAAGCACCACACTGTGCTGCTGTCTCCTTGGAAGAGGGGAAGGGGGAAGGGACTGTGTGTCACTGGCATGATCTTGTGTATGTATATCGGGTCGAGGAACTCACTGGAATGCAATCTGGGGACAGATTGGACTCTCAGAAATCCTTTTGGGTGGTAGGTGGTGGGGAGAGGGCTGCTGTTGCATTCCTGCCTCTTCTTACATGTGGCCCTTTTGCGGTTACCACACCTCTGAGTAGGGTGTATGCTGGCTGATGTTTGATGGCTTCCTCTTCCTCAAGACTTCTTAGGGTCACTGGTTCAAGGTTACTGCTCCCTAGGATGAACACCTATCCTAGTTTGCCCAGAAGTGAGGGGCTTTCTGGGATGTGGGACTTTCAGCAGTAAAAGGGGCAAAGTCCCAGAAAAATCAGCATGATTGGTCAGCCTACGGCCTTAACTCCAGTCTTAACTCTAGCTGATACTGGCCAGTGGGTGTCATGGAGGTCATCTGGAGATTGGGAGCAGAGCTTTTTATTCCTGGTGTACATTCAACAAGAATGGTTAATGGATCACCGTTTGACTAGCAGGCAGAGACTAATCTGGTCCTGGAATCTGTTCAGCCATGCTGAACAAGCTCACAGGTTAATTGAGTTTCCCAGTTTATGGCTGCTTAGTGAGGATGGTGGCTGTTTAGTGGGGATAGAGTTCAGGTAGCTAGATTTGGATTCTGGCTGTGTTTACTTATAGTCTAAAACTCTTAGAATAGGGTGATTTTATCTTTTTCTTTCTCAGGAATGAATTAGTGGTTCAGAGAATACCACAGACATGGTGTTAATTTACTGTTTTCCTGCTGGGGATATAGGATAGTGGAAGAGAGGGTGGAGGAAGAGAAAAAGAGCACATTTTCTAGAACTCAGCTGTCGTGAGGGAGAAGTGTAAGCCTGTGGGTGGGAGCAGCTTTCCTTGCTGAGCATAGGCATTTGGCTCAGAAGTTCGAGCACTGATAGTGGAGGCTGTTGGTGGTTGTTGCCTGTGGGGAGGGATAATGAAGGGTGACCGACTGTCCCACTTTTAGCCCTGAAAGTCCTGGGAAGCCCCTCAGTCCTGGGAAAACTAAGACTGTTGGTAACCCCAGTGGAGGGACAAGGCCCCCAAATGGCAGTGGGGCAGAGTTTTTGGCCTGAGTACATTAAACTGATGAGAGTCAGAGCTGAGGACTCAGAGCTGTCTTGGGAGAAAGACTGAGCCCAGAATTTAAATCATTTAAAAAAAAATCTTGTTTAAGTGTCCTGAATCAAGAAAATAAATGCATCTGCAGCCGATATCTTCCTGGGCAAGCCCTCGTGGCTGGAAACAGCTAGAGTGTAGCTGGTTCAGTCACTCTCAGAGCCAGGACAGCAGCTGAGAGCAAAGGCCTGGGACAAGGGGATTATTTTGGGGTGAAATGGATGCTAGGGTCCCCAAGATAAGCAGCCTTAAATCAAGCTATTATACAATGTGATTTTTTTTCTAAATTTCTTTTTGGAAAATCATGCTCAGACTACCTGCTGCTTCCATAGGTGAAGGGCAGGGTGGCAGAGCTGGAGTGGAACAGAACTTTGGCCTTTTGTCCTGTATGTTTGATCTAGAGGCAGGCTTCAGCAGCTGAGAGGAAGTCCTAGGGAAACTTGACAGAGGCTGGCTGGCTGAGAACCCAGCAGGCCTGCTCAAGCCGGTCTTCCCTGGCCTTTAGGAAAAACACATGCACATACACCTGAGCAAGAACTATTTCTGTCTTCCAGGATATAGAATAAATACTCATGTGTCCTGTGACCTTTTAAATGGAAACTTAACTCTCCTTTCTCTACGAATGTACCCAAAGATGATCTTTGCTTTGTATCTGTTTGATGGGAGAATAAAGTTTCATTGCCTGAGTCCTGAGGCATTTGGGATGAATCTTGTTCCAGTAGACTCTAAGCTCCAGCAGAACAGTATCTGGTTTCTCTTGCTTACTCTTGAATCCCAGAGCCTAAACTAGTGGCTGGCACACAGATGTTCAGTAATTAATAATAATTCATTATGTACCTTTCTGAATGAGGACAGTATACTGAGGGTGGTGGGACAGTGGCTCTAAAACTTGGCTGTACATGAGAAGCATGTGGGGAGCTTTGAAAAACATCTTAATGTCCAGGGCACCCTCCAAAACTATTAAGTTAGATTCTTTTAGAGCAAGACCCAGGCATCAGTATTTTTAAAACTCTTAAGATTCCAGTGTGCAGCTCAGTATGAGAACCACTCTGTGTGTGTGTGTGTGTGTGTGTGTTTGTGTGTGTGTGTGTGTGTGTGTGTGTGTGTAGAGTTTTTTTACTCAAAGTGTGGTTGGTGGACCAGCAACTGCAAGCATTGCTAGGGTTCTTGTTAGAAATGCAGGCTCTCAGATCCCATCCTAGACCTAATGTATTAGAATCTGCATTTTAATAAGATCCCCAGGGATTAAAGACCGGGAAGCATGGCTGTAGGGATACAGAGAATCTGCTGGTGTTTAGGGTCCATGAAGTGCAGAGTAGGGGGAAATAAGGCTGGAAAGCAGGCTGGGAAGTTTGGACTTATTGGGCAGGCAGTGGAGAGCTGTGAAAAGATCTTGAGCATAGGAGTGATATGATAGGAACAGAGGGATGAGTCCCTGCTAGTGGAATCCAGTGTCTGAGAATGTCACCTTCTCTTGCAGGTGCTGCTACCAGCAGCCAGCTTGCTACAGCTTATGGATGTTCGGCAGAACTGCTGTGATTTCCTGCAGTCTCAGTTGCATCCCACAAATTGCCTGGGGATCCGTGCATTTGCAGATGTGCACACCTGCACTGACCTTCTGCAGCAGGCCAATGCGTATGCAGGTAATGGGGAGCCGGGCTGCTGCACCTCCTCCGAGTTTGTGGCTCTAATCACCTGGCCTTCTGCAGACTCCTCAAAGATTATGAGAAGTGGTCTCTGCTGTGAAGCAGCTACGGTTTAGTTAGGAATACAAGATCCAGGTGGAAAGATAATTAATGGTAGGAAAGTTAAGCTCATTGCCAAGTGGAAAATGATTAATTGCCAAATGGATGGTACAGACAGTAATTTTCACTAGAGTAGAGGAAGGAGATCTGAGAAGACTTGTGGGGTGGGGAGAGTAAATTGAGCTAGGTCTTGAAATAAACAGTTTTTGGTATTATTAAGGAAAGCTTCACTTTCGTCAGATATTCCATGAACATGCTTTTAAAAGTCACGTCCTATTGAAGGGCTTATAATGATGAAGGGTACCCTGCTCTACCTTTCCACCCTGAGTCTTGTGCTCCACAGCCACTCACTTTCAATCCTTAAAGAATTAAAATGCAGGTTCTGATCCAGCTAAAAGCTACGTCATCTGCTACCCACTTCCGTTTATCAAAATAATATGTGTAACTGCTGTTTTTTGATTTATTAATTTTAGATATTAATTGTTTACTTCTCCAGAAGAATAAGGTTGAGCTTTTCATACTTTCTTCTTATACACATGCAGCCATCCCCCTTTTTATTGTCCAGATATCATTTCCACAACTGAACTAAATAATCTGTTACAGGGATTTTTAAATCAGAAAACGAATCAGAAGGGCAGTTAATAATTGTGTTTTTCTGTTGCACAGTGTATGGTTCTACCACTAATTCTTGTTGGAACAGTCCTCAATACATCAGATAATCTGTTGATTCACTTATTTTTCTTGGAGATATTCCCTGCGCTAGAGCGTGTCACTTTATTATTTTAATAGGGTTTTGGAAGGGAGTAGAAATGAACATTTATATTCCGTCCACCATGTTTATTTAGCTAGCTGGAAAGAAATCTTCATTGCCACTTGTTGCAGTCTGAAGAAAGATGATGAATGACTAGGAAATAGGCCTGATCATTTTGATTGATAAATTCAGCCATGGCCACCTTCTTGCCTTGTAATAAAGCAACTCCTTCTTTTCCCTGCCCAAACACTGTCATGGCTGCTATTCTGTTCAGTGTCTCCTGCAGCTAGTGTCTGGAAATTAGCTGAGGACTACTGGCTGCCCACCTGCCAGCTAGCTACCTGTGCTGTGTTAGCCTGTTGGTCTCAAAGCTACAAGCAGCTGTTCTGTTTCTTGGCATGCTTTTTGTGTCTGATTAAGTCCCTGACCCCAGGAGCCTGCAGAGACTTTCTGTCTCCCCACAATCTGTTTCTGAGGGCACACATGGGAGCAGTTGTAAAGATAGTCTTGATATGATGATTTTTGTGAAGGATATTACCCAGTAGCCCCAATTCTAAGTCCTGCTGATTCTTTCTGGCTCTAAACCTTGACTCTTCTGTTTCTCTGCTATTCCTGTGCTCTCTTTCCCCTGCATATTCTCCACTGCCTTTCCACATTTGCTTAGGAAGCCTCTTCTCTCCCTGGGGAGGACGCTCAGTGAAGCCTTTGAAGAGGTTACTTTCTAGATGGGTGGATGTGTTAAGATTTTGCTTTAGCAGGAGCCAAGCTCTTTGCTAAGGCAAGCATTTTCTGTGCAGATTATTTTCACAAACATTTGCTAGTGTAGTGGCAAAGGAAGAGTGCTTAGATGTCAGAAATTCTGTCTTCTTCTGAGTCTCCTCTTACCAGCCCTCTCCTTCCACATAGCATGTGCATGCACGTGTGTGCACACCTAGCACATATCCCACCCTAATTGGCTGATACAGTTGTCTGAGGTTTGGGGAGTATACTGAATCCCCACCTTTTTTAAAATTTAAAATTACATTTTAGATTCAAGGGGTACATGTGCAGGCTTGTTACATTTGTATATTGTGTGAATCTGAGCTTTGGCTTCTGTTGATCCCATTACTCAGATGGTGAATATAGTACTCAATAGAAAGTTTATCAGCCCTTGACCCCACTCCTTGGGGAGTCCCCAGTGTCTGTTGTTCCCATCTTTATGTCCATGGGTACCCAGGATTTAGTTCCCACTTACAAGTGAAAACGTGATATTTGGTGTTCTGTTTCTGTTTGGTTAATTCACTTAGGATAATGACCTCTAGCTGTGTCCATGCTGCTGTAAAGGACATGATTTTGTTCTTTTTTATGGCTGTGTAGTATTCCATGGTGTATATGTACCACATTTTCTTTATCCAATCCACTGTGGATGGGCACCTAGACTGATTGCATGTCTTTGCTATTGTGAATAGTGCTTAATGAACATATGTGTGCATGTGTCTTTTTGGCAGGACAATTTATTCTCCTTTGGGTATATACCCAGTAATGGGATTGCTGGGTCAAATGGTGGTTCTATTTTCAGTTCCTTGAAAAATCTCCAGACTGCTTTCCACAGTAGCCGAATTAATTTACATTCCGACCAGCAGTGTATAAGCGTTCCCTTTTCTCTGCATCTGTTGTTTTTTGACTTTTTAATAATAGCCATCCTGACTGGTGTGTGATGGTATCACATGGTAGTTTTGATTTGCATTTCTCTAATGTGAATCCCCACCTTTAACAGAGCTCCCAGGCTCTTCTGGCCTGGCTTTTCCCAACTTTAATGTCTGTGTTTTCTCCCTTTGCCCCTTGCACTGTATGATGATGAGATTCATCTGTGGGAGAGAGTGCAGCAGATGCAGCTGGGAACACATCCATCTTTCTGGTACTCCTTGGTCCTGTTGCTGTCATTGTGACTGAGTTCTGTCTGCATTACGGGTGTGTATGTGCAGCCATCTTGATGAATTATCCTTAGTTAGTGCTTATTGAGCTCTCACTTTGAGTCATACCCTATGTTAAGCATTTTATTGGCCTCATCCCATTTAATGCATACAGTAGCCGAGGAAACCAGAGCATAGAGAGGTGAAGTAATTTGTTGAGGTCACATAGTGACAGAAGGGACAAAAGGCAGGATTCAAGCCCAGACTATGCCGACTCCAGAGCCAGTGTTTATTACATTCTACAGCTTCCAGGCCCAGTTTGGACATAAGGACTCCCTGTGAATCTGTAACCGAGGAGTGCATGTGGCTAGAGTTGGCATTTTCCAATGGATGCATGTTCCTGGAAGCCTGTGCAATGTAGTCACCAAATCCCAACAACCAGGCAGTGTAGACAGACATCCAGCTTCCACTAGACAGGGTATGTCATCACCTTGGGGTGGAGAAACGACCATGTGGGTGTCTTCTTCTCTTTCTTGTTGGATGACTTCCTCTCAGACACATGGAGCCTGTTCCTTCACTGCATGAGTGAGCAGGCCCTCCTACTTTCCCTGGCTGGGTCAGCATGATCTTCAGGCTGAGAGTTTCCTCCCTGTTATGTAGGCCTTCTATGGAGCCTGTGACCCTCTCCTGAGTGGCTTTCTCTGTAGCTGTCTGCTGTGCACACTAGGGAGATAATATTTTTAAAGTAGTATAATGTAGATGATAAGGCCATGATGCAAAGATGTTAAAAGAAGGGTATGAAGGCTAGATTGTGCAGTGTTTAGAGAAGAAGTAGAAAACTATTATCCATGCTTACTCCCTTGAACCTACCCACTGATGTGGGCCTGCTTTTTTTCTTGGTCTTGTACCCCTGATTTTAGATGGAGGCTGGTGTTCTCTGCCATCGCTGCCTCTTGAGACAGACCTGTGACCTCATTCTATTGTAAGTACAGGGATGCAGGCACCCACTAGGGTCACATACAAGGGAAAGCATTGGTCTCCATGGTCACAGGCCTCCATGGACACAGGCCTTGAGTTAGAAAGTATTTCATGCCAACAAACTATAAGGAGACCTTCCATATCGGAACTCGGAATCAGACCAGCTAACACTTTGGATCTGAGTAATCCCGAGCCTATTTTCTCCTCTCTGTGATGGGAGTAGCACATCCTATCCTGTCTCCAGGGTAATTTGGAGATTGGGGGAATGGGGAGGAGAGCATCCTATGGAAGTAGACACCACGGGGGCTGTGCTGTGGAGCCTCCCTGCCAGCCTCATCATCTGCAGTGAGGGAGCCTCAGAGTTGGGTCCAGGCAGGAGAGACAAGAATCCTCAGGTACTGCTGCTGCAGATCACATGCACTTTGTGGGAGGAAGGCCATATCTAGGACTTCTGGTTTTGGTTTCTCTTCATCTAGGTGTATGGTGCGGGCAGGTATATCCTGTACAGTCTTCCCTACTCTTCCCAGTTTCTGGCTAGCTTTGCTCTGCCTTCACTTATCTGTAGATTTGTTTTGCTGCTGAATTCTCTTTCTTTTCCTTCTCTAAAAAGCTTTCTTTTTCTATACTTATCGTTATTGTTGTTGTTATTCTTGCTATTTTAAGAAAAATTCATCCCTGACTATTACAGAAATAGCACATAGGTGGAAAGAAGATACCATAATCCTACCTAGAGAGACCTGCCTGCAGCACCTTGATGTATATCCTTCCAGATCTTTTTCACTGTATATGTGTGCTTTCCAGCTTAAAAAGCATTCTAGCCAGGTACAGTAGCAGGTGCCTATAGTCCCAGCTACTTGGGAGGTTGAGGTTGATAGCTCAAGCTGTCATGCATAGCATGAGCCCAGGAATTTGAGTCCAGCCTGGGCAACATAGCAAGATACTCCATCTCTTTTTATTTTTTTTGAGACGGAGTTTCGCTCTTGTTACCCAGGCTGGAGTGCAATGGCGCGATCTCGGCTCATCGCAACCTCCGCCTCCTGGGTTCAGGCAAT